CTTCTGATTAAGAGGCGGTTTCTATCTTGTTAAAGCACAGTATACACTCATGTATCAGTCTAGAAATTTTAGTCAAAAAATTAACCCAAAAACCTAAGTCAACTTATCCGTGGGTCAATGCAAGTACTGTACTTTGACTCTTATCAAAAAGGGACCATCCTTTGATGAAAGGCAAGAGTGTAATTTGTCATGAAATCACTGACACACACCCCTTCCTGCTTTTTCATCCACCCAGTCTTTAGTGTGAGCACAAACAGGTATACCTGCTGGAATTTTGTAAGTTATTTACCATTGTTTTCCTTTGCTTCATTTTTAAGATCCTTTGTTACATGCCCCAAGTTTTAACCTCGACTTATCCATGGGTCATATCAAAATCCATAATTTTGGTTCCAAAACCTGCCTTTGACTTATGCACGAGGCCGACTCATATATGGTATATTATAGTGCTTTAAGAGAAAACTGGATTCTTGTGCAGTGTAACAAACATTGATTTTTCTCCCCCTAGTGGTTTTTAATTGGCAATTCATCATACAAGATCAGTGCTGCTAGTTCATTTTTCTTCAGTGGTGTATTTGTTGGAGTGATAACTTTTGGACAGCTCTCCGATCATTTTGGACGGAAGAAAGTCTACCTTGTAGGTAAGCAGCATAAGAAAAAGATGGAAAACCTTGCTCTGTATCAGATTAATTTCGTCCTGAGAGTTTGTAATGACTAAAGACTAAGATCACTAAAGCCCCGGAAATTATAAAGAACTGGAGAAAGTTGCAGACATGAGCCAATTGGAAGTGATACAGACTTTTTGAAAATTTATTATGAAAAGATCCATTAATGTACTGAGATCTAACAGTCTCCAGTACATCCTTGTGTCAGTTTGGCTAATGATTTAGAATGGGTTATTTGCTGCCAGAATTGTCATTTCTTTTGTTTCTCAGGGTCTTCACAGTTTCTTTGGTGGTTCATTCTGATCTGTCAGACTGCTGAGTTGATATGCCATGTTTTAGCAAGATGGCAAGCACTCTTACAATACTATATCTCCAAACTGCTTGTTTGAAGCAAAAACTCAGCTGAGTATTTTTAACATTTATTTGTTTTTGTCTAAATGAAACAGTTGCAATGTGCCTTCTCACATATGCACATATCTACACAATAACTACAGTGGACCCTTGTTATCCGCTGGAGTTTGGTTCCAGGATACTCTGTGGATAACAAAATCTATGGATGCTCAAGTCTCATTAAATATAATGGTGTAGTAAAATGGT